TTTTTTACACCCCCCCCCCCCCCTTCTTGCAAATTCACTGGATCTGGTGAGTAGAATATATAACAATCTTTTTTCATTGAATCAGGATTCTATAGCAAGGCTGTGGAAGTGGCACCAAATCTAAGTGATGAGTTTGATAAGGAGTTGTCTGAGAGAAAATGTTGGGGGCTGAATCATCTGCGCAGTTACTTTCGTGCTGTGCATGGCCAAGCCAACACCTTGCGCAAGATGGGGAGATACAAGGAATCACTCAAAAAGTATCTTCTACTAGAGAAGTTGGATCCAAAATTCTACAGGTATTGCCTTGTTAATAAATAATAATGTCATACTTACTTAGTAAAAGTGATCCTTGGGGGGAGGGGAGGGTGAATTTCCATTTTGGAGCAAGAAAAGGCCCATCATCACTGGGAATCCCTTTTTAGCACCTCTAAATTTTCCTTACCATTGGTTATTTATGAGAAAACGTATCAGGTGCACAGATAGCTGATGGAAGTTGGCCATTAGCTCATTCAATGTGGTGAGGAATGCTTCTTACCTGCTCCAACACCCTTACAGCTTTGACTTAGCTGGTAGAATAGTGAACCAAGGAGTGTATCNTTAATAAATAATAATGTCATACTTACTTAGTAAAAGTGATCCTTAGGGGAGGGAGGGTGAATTTCCATTTTGGAGCAAGAAAACGCCCATCATCACTGGGAATCCCCTTTTTAGCACCTCTAAATTTTCCTTACCAATAGTTATTTATGAGACAACTTATCAGGTGCACAGATTTATAGCTGATGGAAGTTGGCCCATTAGCTCATTCAGTGTGGTGGGGAATGCTTCTTACCTGCTCCAACACCCTTACAGCTTTGACTTAGCTGGTAGAATAGTGAACCAAGGAGTGTATCAAGAAGGGCTACAGTTTGTGTGTTTAGACCATGGCTTTACATTTACTTAAGTAAACAAATGTAGTGATAAATGATAATCATTATCGTTATTAAGGCCCAGAAGTACAGAGGGAAAGGTATTAGAAGTGGGAACCTGGAACTTTTGACCTGCCGGCTGCACGTTTATTAGTGCTATGCACTACTGTACTTAGCACAAGCCTCTTGAAATGTGTATTGACCTCCCTTAAACTCTTACCCCAACCTTACTTGTGTTGTGTTAAAGTAGATGGCAAAAAGCACTTATGTGTGATCTTTGTTGTAAACTTTCATAGCTGGTCATCATTTGCCAACTGGAGGTACCATGTCCTGGAGGTTTATATGAAAATGGGTGATGACAAGGGGGCTCTCAAGTTTGCTTTAAAAAAATCCAATTCAGAAGCTTTCTGCCTATCTTCATCATGTGGGGCATGGTTTTGGACTAAAGCGCTGCTTGACTACCGTTACAAGGAACAAAGGGGCTTTGCAGAGGACTACTTTGATTTGGTGCCAAACTCAGGTGACCCAGAATCTAGAAATCTGTTTCACAGGTTTGAAGGTACAATTCTAAGAGCTTTTCAAGCATCCCCAGAAACCCTGAATTTTCTGACTGGAGAACGCAAGCTGCCAAATTGCAGAATACCTTTTCACATGGGAAACTGGGCATCACTGTCTAATATAGGTAGTTACTGCCTGTCCAATGCTGAACTTTGGCGCAACACTCCTGGAGCTCTCGAGTGGGCTGCTTGCAATGTTCGCACATTCATGTGCTCGTTGATCTTGAATCAAGACATCGAGTGCTGCAAAGCATTGAAGATCAAATGTCATGCTAAAAAGTTTGAAGAGCTACTCAGTGAAGGGGTATTTTTTGATGCCAGAGTTACCAGTTGCGGGAAGACCTTGGTTCATGTCGCTACATGTAGTGAAATGCCGCAGATGTTGAGAATGCTGCTTAATGCTGGTGCCAAAGTGAAGATAAGTAGAAGTGGACGTGGAATCCCACAGCCACTACACATGGCCTGTTATTACAATTTCAACCCAAAGATCATCAAGATTCTTTGCAATGCAGGTCGGTTATTATAGCAATTATTATAGCAATAATCAATGATGTATAGGGTTGAAAATCTTGGGCTACAGCAACATTTTGGATGACATTACATATGGGTTATTGGCCAAACATGAGGTCAAGATGGCCAGATATTGGCCAATTTATTTTGTATGGTGTTTGGACCTACAATTAGATGGAGTTCAATTAACACATAAAAAAGATTGAGGCTAATATTCACCCATCTTGCCTGAATAAGCTTGGTCAATAAAGGATTTATTAAATTGGTTCAGTGAAATATTTCTTGTGGGACACTGTGTAATCCCAAGGTGGCGAGATGGTGTCATCTCTGCACGGGTAGCCAATCACTGCACAGAATTTAATTCATCTTGCCTGCTCATGGAGTTACCATCTAGTAACTATTGTTATTGATAAGGAAACCTTTTGTTTAATACTTGGCAAATTTAAGTATCAAAAAGAATTTGAAATCAATGTAGCTATCGGAAAATGTTTTTCAAACTTCCTAAACAAACTATCCAAAGCATTCTTGACAATAAGGACTTATGGAATTTTTTTGTTGAACAATGCTGACCTTTAGGGACTAATGTGTCAATGAGGTAAATTAATTTTGCACAAAACTTCAAACCTATTGGCCTTTTATCTTGCTCTTTCAGGTGCTGACCCGACAGATAAGTGTGGTATTCACTACTCTCCTTTACAAATGGCAGCTGAACAAGGGGCAATGAGAGCCTTGAAAACTGCATTTGAGTGTCTTCCAGCTGGCCGTAAGAAAAATCAGGCAGTCCTTGACAGCATTCTGCTTGGTGTGTTCCAGAGCTCGTGTTACGAGTGTGTTACAGGTCTCGGAAACCTTTGTCAGCGGTGCCTTGGCGGTGACACAGCACACCCAGCAGATGCAACCTGGACTGGTGTGCTTGACTTTCTCACAGAACTAAACTACAAACCATCCAAGGAATATTTGGAGAGTATGAAAGAATTTCCTGGAAAAAGGAAGCTGTTTGCTTATTACAGCAGCAAACTGCGAGGTGAGGAACCTAAGGTGATTGCAGAAGGCCCAGGCTTGGGTCGACAGCCACTGTCACTTATGCAGCCATCTAGTCTGTCCAATTTTCTGTCAGCACTTGGCCAGTTCGGAGACCTCCCTTACAGTGGAAGGACGTTACAGAAGCAACTTCAGAGTTCCAAAACAATCCTTCCCAAGTCAGCTACATGCGAGAATTGTAAAGAAAGGGAAAAGAAAATGATGGTTTGNTGGCTTCTAATAAATTACATGTGTATTTTATGACTTGTTTTTCTTGCCATTACTTAGTCCTCCGAGTGGAGAGCACCCAAAAGAGCTCAAAATATATATAGTATTTTAATCCTTCAACACAAAGTTGTACAATACTTACACAGCTCAATTGTCATCTTTTGTGTTTTATTGACAAAATTTAACAAAATATGAAAACTACCTAAAATGGTAACTTCTTCTGTCACACTTGTTGGGCCATGTAACTTGTTTATGTACTGCTACACTCATTGGGCCATATAACCTCTTTATATGAATGCCACAATACTGATCTCAGCAAACCCAATAATCTGCACTTGTAAATGTCAATTTATTTTGACTGTCAACACTTCCATTTGCTTCCAACAAAGCCGCGTTACATTTTAACTTCACTTGTTCATGTATATAGCAGAAGCACTGATTTTTGGTGTTAGGTATTCCTTTTTAAACCTGCCAAGCTTTAGCTCTAGCCAAGCAAGAAGTGGTTGTTCAAGGTACCAAGCGAACAATGTTAATTTTCTGTTTGCATGTATTGCCAAATAATCTGTCTCTTCTACTAGTAGCTAAAGCCAGTAGGAAATTCTCATTTGTTCATCTCATATTGAATCACTGGCTCTGTAACTGTGTTGGTTTTCATTTTCCAGAACTGTTGGAAATCAGAATTTTGTTTTTGCTGAACTGATTTTTCTTTGCCACTTTCAAAACTAGAAGAAATCTGGGGTGAGTCTCATCTTGCAGTTGTTGTGGGATCATTACTCGGGACAATATAGCTTTTGTTTTGTCCACAGAAATGGCCCTTTGAGCCACTGTGAAATGAGATTTCTTCTTGTTTCTAAAGTTTCAAATACAGCTCTTCCCAAAAGTTATTGATAATGAATTACATTAAATTGCATTGTAGTTTGGACTTGAAGTTCTTCCTGGCTGTTGTTGTCTATATTCACTTCTTCAGGGCTCGCAAAAAGTGTTGCCGCATTGTCCAGGACAAGTAGATTTTCCTGCAGGGCAGGTAACTTCTCATTCTTGCTTGCTTGCCGATGGGCAAGAGCCTAGGGAAATCATCTGCCAGTAACAAAATAGTAAATTTTAAGTTGCCTGGGGCAAGCAAAATTTGATAGCTGCTTGTCTGAGAGTGAAGGACAAGCTTGAATTCAAGTGTTTTTCAAGCCCTACTTCTTTCTAAGTCACTGTGCTATGGAGTGCCTCATGCCTCAACCAAAGACTTGTAATCTGTAGCTTTGATCCCATCCAACTTGAACCTATGAAATGTGTGATAAATTATTGATGAATTAACTCCTTTTGAACTGCTTTGATTTACCATGGAGATGAGGTTGTTTCCTCTTTTTACTTTTTCCAGATTGACCTTCTTGCTGTTGCACACTTTTCTTATTGCTTCTTTTCCTTCTAAATTTTTTGTGAGACTTTTGTCTTTTGGAAGTGGCTCTGTCAATGTAAAAAGAAGAGCACCACTTGATAAGTGGCTTTATTTGTACATAAATGTAAAAAAAAAAAAACATTTCAATCCTGCTTTCAAAGTTTCCAGTTTAGTGTTTAAACCACTAGGTGTTACAATAACTGCAGAAATTCTCATGCACTCAATGGCTAATTTTCATTGTCAATAAGCAGACAGACACATGAATTTACGATGCAACAAAGCGCAGAGAGTGGACAATTTGACAGTTTGTTATTGTAAAAAACAAATTTGACAGGAATTTTTCATGCGTCTGTCCTGTTATCGGCAATGAATTTTGTCATAACATTGTCAAAGTAGTCTGCGGATCCACTGAGCTATCCCCTCATAGATCCACAGCTACTTGGACAATGTTATGATGAAATTCATGATCAATAACAGGACAGATGCATGAAAAACTGGACATGTAGTAAAATACAGCTGACATGTCTGTTCTATCATTGTATCTGTCAGTGACTACACCTACTGCCATTGGTCAATGTAGCAGGTGTATTCTACTGTATGGCCCGCTAACATTTAAAGCCCCCTGTTGCCAAAACATCATGCAATAATATTTATTACCTTTCTTAACATTCATACATGTAGCATGTGTGTAAAACTACAAGTTAACTTTAAAAGATTTTGACAAAAGGGTATTTAAACCCTGGGATTTAAATGTGCTAATGGCTTAGTAGTAACTTCGAATTGAATCATTTTGATTTTGATATTCAGTGGTTTGAAGCCATTCTCCATGACTTAAACTGTTTGACCCACAGTAGAGATATTAATCATAAATATCTTACAAACCTCGTCTTTTCAGTCCTACTGTAAGTTCCAGATCCTTGTTTTTATTTCCTTTGATTCATGGCCCACACACTGTGCTTCGGTCATAAATCGAAGGGGAAAGAACTTGGTCTGTAACTTACAGTACAGACCTCAAACTCAGTCAGACAGAGGCATTTTGTTGTCTTTTTAAGCATGTTTAGTACATGACATACACACTACAGTAACTTCACTAAACTGATATTGAATGTCACCCTCAACAGTGATTGTAAACTCCCTTGTTGAGGAGCTGAATCAATGATTTATTATAATTTGTAATTCATTTCCTACTAAGTCTGTAAGATAAAGTAATTGCTTACTTTTCAGTCCCTTTAACTGAAGAGTGATTCTGTACCTCAGCAAGTGAAGTATCTGGTTGTGATTTTACTTTTTCCATCAAACCCTGAACACAAAAAAATCATGCATTAGAAAGAGTATATTCAAATAAAGTTAGAAACAATACACATAAGTTCATGCAAGAAGGTATAATGTATAAGGGCAGTGTATTAATCATGAATAGCACCAGACCAATATCTGCCATTAGACTTCTAAACTATGACGAACATTTTTTTTTTCATGTCTGACACCAGTAGTATTAAAACCAGCATTAAGGTGATAAAGAATTAGTACAGTTTAGGCTGCTGCAATTCACAAAGAGAATAGTATATTATCAAAGTACTCTAAACTCTATGCTTAGGGGAAAACTACATGTATGAACTATGAAAGGAATTAAATGTATACACTGGCATTATACAGACTATCAATAATTTAGCCAAGCCTTATATTCTGGAGACCAAGATCTTCATATTAGTGTCTTAGCACAGTGGGGGGTGGGAGAGGTTTAGT